GAGGGAGGAGGAAGAAGGGTTGGACCGTGAGTGGGAGGAGGGGAGTCTCACTACATTCCTAAATCTGTACATAGGAAATACATGAAACTTGTATAACTTAAATAAAAAATTTTAAAGGCAAAAGAAGTATTAAAAATTTTTATTTACTTATTTCTAAAGATTTATTTACCTATTTGAGAGGTAGGATAACAGAGAGAAGAAGAAAGAGATCTTCCATCTACTGGTTCACTCCCTAAATGCCCACAACAGCCAGGGTTGGGCCAGGCTGAACACTGTGGGAAGCAGATGATGTTCTGGGTGGTGACAGACTCTACCACAGCTGTCAGAGCAGGCAGGATTAGATTTATTGAACCCCTGCAGCAGGCAGAACAGCCAGAGGGTGGCTGTGGCCAAGCACAAATATATTCCTAAAGTGGAAAGAAAAGTCTGAGTCCAAAAGTAAAAAATGATATGGGGCCAGCTCAGTGGCGCAGTGAGTTAACACCCTGGCCTGAAGTGCCAGCATCCTATAAGGGCACCAGTTCTAGTCCTGGCTGCTCCACTTCCGAACTAGCTCTCTGCTGTGGCCTGGGAAAGCAGTAGAAGATGGCCAATGTCCTTGGACCCCTGCACCCACGTGGGAGACTCAGAGGAAGCTCCTGGCTCCTGACTTCGGATCAGCTCAGCTCTGGCTGTTGCAGCCATCTGGGGAGTGAACCATCAGATGGAAGACCTCTCTCTCTCTCTCTGCCTCTCCTCTGTGTAACTGACTTTCAAATAAATAAATCTTAAAAAAAAAAAGTAAAAAAAGATAAAGCACAAAAGATGAGGAACAATGAGATAGTGACTTAAACAAAATTTATAGGAGGCTGGTTTTTTGGATTAAGCTCCTGCACTAGGCCCCACCAGACAAGACTGAAAACCAAATGGAATCTCTCTCACTAAAGGTCTGCCAAACATCATAAATAAGAGTGTCAACTGTTAAATCAACAACAGGAGTCACTGTGCACTTGCTTCCCATGTTGGATCTCTGTCCTTAATGCACTGTACTATGCGAATTAACGGTAAAACTCGTCTTCAAACAGTACTTTATTCTTTGTGTGTCTGTGTGGGTGCAATCTGTTGAAATCTTTACTTAGTATAGAGTTGATCTTCTGTATATAAAGATAATTAAAAATGAATCTTAATGAAGAATGGGATGGGAGAGGGAGTAGGAGATGGGATGGTTTGTGGGTGGGAGGGTGGTTATTGGGGGGAAAACTGCTATAATTCAAAAGTTGTACTTTTGAAATTTATATTTATTAAATTTTTTCCAAAAATATAATTAAAAAATTAAAAAATAAAAGGTCTGCCAAACTGAAACTTACTTTTATCAGACCTTTAGAGAAATCAGGAAAGACTTAACAGCCACATTTCACAGACAGTTCAATTTCAGTTCCCCGTTTTACCCCTTACGTTAAAAAAAAAAAAATCTACCTGAAGAAACCAGTTATTTTTCTAATGTTCTTTTTTTTTTTCTGGACAGGCAGAGTCAGAGAAAAAGACAGAGAGAAAGGTCTTCCTTCCGTTGGTTCAACCCCAAATGGCTGTTATAGCCAGCGCGCTGCACCGCTCCGAAGCCAGGAGCCAGGTGCTTCCTCCTGGTCTCCCATGCGGGTGCAGGGCCCAAGCACTTGGGCCATCCTCACTGCATTCCCGGGCCACAGCAGAGAGCTGGAATGGAAGAGGAGCAACCAGGACAGAATCAGGTGCCCCAAATGGGACTAGAACCCGGGGTGCTGGCGCCACAGGCAGAGGATTAGCCTAGTGAGCTGCGGCATCAGCCATAATGTTCTATTTCTGAGACTCCATCTTACATAGGAAATAACTTTAGGGTCCGGCTGTAGCGAGTAAAGCCACTGCCGGCAGTGTCAGCATCACATATGGGCACTGGTTCGAGTCCCAGCTGCTCCAGTTCTGATTCAGCTCTGTACTATATGCCTGGGAAAGCAGTGGAAGATGACCCAAGTGACTGGGCTTCTGCATCTATGTGGGAGACCCAGAAGCAGCTCCTGGCTCCTGGCTTCGGTCTGGATTAGCCCTGGCCATTGTGACCATTTGAGGAATGAACCAGTAGATGAAAGTCCTCTCTCTGTCTCCCCTTCTTTTTCTTTGCAACCGTGTTTTTCAAACAAATAAAATAAACCTTTAAAAAAACTTCTAAATGACCAATCTAATTCTTATTCTTTGTGTTTTCTGCAGCACTTTTCTGTTGATAAAACCAATCTCTTCTCTCAGCTCATTACAACACTTATTTATTTTATGGTATGAAGTGCTGTTCATTTCTAGAATCACAAATACAGTAAAACCAATAAAAAATTTTTAAACTGATGTAATTTCATCATTTACCATTAATAGGGGCCAACACTGTGGCTTACGCCACCACCTGTGACACCAGCATCACATGAATCTCATATGAATAAGCACTGGTTCAAGTCCAAGCTGCTCTACTTCTGACCCAGCTCCCTTGATAATGTGCTTGAGAAAGCAGAAGATGTCCAAGTGCTTACAAAACTTCCACCTACATGAAAGATCTGGGCTGGAATTCCATGCTCCTGGCTTGGGCCTGGTCCAGCCCTTGGCCACTACATCCATTTGGGGAGTGAACCAGCAGATGGAAGATTTGTCTCTCTCGTTCTCTATCTCTCCCTCTCTCTCTGTAATTCTGCCTAATAAATAACTAATCCTTTTGAAAAAAAATTAACAGATAAAAAAGAAACAGAAAAAGAATTCACTAGTAAAGAATCTTAGATGTTAAAAATGAAAAATACATCAATCCCAAAAAAGAAAATCCTGTATGACTCCATTTATCTGAGGTAACTAGACAAGTCATAGAGACAGAAAGTAGAACAGGGGCTTGTGGGAGTTGGTGGGGGGTGGTGGATGTAGAATCATTATTTATCAACCCAGGTTTCCCATCACCTGCTATCTCCCAGAGTATGAATTAGCAGAAAGCTGGAAAGGAGAGCAAAACTGGGACTCGAACCCAGGGACTTCAAGATGGGATGAGGGCACCCAAGGGGCAACCTAACCTCTGTGCCAAACACACCCCTGTATGTTTTTAATGTGTGAAATTTAGTATACTTTAGTTATTCCATGGTAAAGTTGAACAATATGTCCACTGAACACTGATTTGAAAAGTCATCTTTACCTGACACCAAGTTTTCACATCTGTATGTGTACGTTTCCAGACTCTCTTCAACTCTGTTAAATCTTTGACTTTATGTGAGTGTACTTCAAAAAAGTTCGTGGAAAGTGAAATTAAAATATAAGTTTTGGGGCCGGTGTTGTGTGCAGCTGGTTAAGCCACTGATTTTGATGCCTGCATCTCATATCAGAGTGCCGGTTCAACTCTTGGCTGTTCCACTTCTGATCCAGCTTCCTGCAAATGCACCTAGGAAGGTGGTGGATGATGGCTCAAGTACTCCCACCTATGCGGGAGACCTCGATGTATTTCCTGGTTCCTGCCTTGGGCTTTGTCCAGCCCTGGCTATTACACCCATTTGGGGAGTGAACCAGCAGTTGCAACATCTCTGTCTCTCTCTCTGACGTTCTATCTTTCAAATAAATTCTTTTTAAAAAACCTTTAAAAAAAAGAATCATTATTTAGCCGAGGGTATAGCATTTGTTTTATAAGACGAAAAAAGGGAACTGATGGAGATGACTGTTGTACAACATTAGAAATATATTTAATACCTCAATAGTACACACTTAGAAATGGTTAAGATGGTGTTTCATGTTCTATGCATTTTGCCACAATAAGTAAACAAAAAGCCTTAGAGGAGATAAAGACTCAAGAGGAAACTAACAAGTCACAGTATTTAAAATAGGAAATGTTAACACAGACAACTGGTAACTGGTTGTACTGGTGACGGGAGAGCTGAGAGCTGAACAAGGAACCGTGGGGCAACCTATCCCATTAGCAGCAGAACACTGTGACCCCGCATCAGGCTCGGGACACAAAGAAAGGAAAGCAGCGTGGTGGATCACCTGGCAGAAACTGGACCCCGAATGTGGTCGCCTACGGAAACTAGCACCAGTGTAAATCCAGCTGTTGATATAAAGAATGAAAGAGAATACTACTCTTCCCTTCCTTACACACTCCCACTCAGCTGCCAGGAGACATGGGAGCCTGGGAGACCCTCAAGTGGCAGCTCCCTTCGAGAGAGGAGCAAGGAAAAGCAATGGAACGTATCTGAGTACAGACTGACCTTGGATTAACACAGAGTCTGCTCAGAAAAAAACAATCTGACTATCTTGAAAGTTCAACATTAACAATTACTTTGCAGTTATGAATTCAATGCAATATACCAAACTGGAATTAATAACATCATTTTGAGGAAAATTTTAACTCGCTTGCAAGTAACTGGGACATTTAAAAATACTAGGTTACAATTACTTTAAGACTTATTGTACCATATATTAATAGTTCAAAAAATTTCCATACTGTAGTTATGCTGACCTTAAAAAATGAATTTATGGGGCCAGTGCTGTGGCGTAGTGGGTAAAGCTGCCACCTGCAGTGCCAGCATCCCATATGGACACCAGTTCAAGTCCCAGCTGCTCCACTTCCAATCCAGCTCTCTCCTATGGCCTGGGGAAGCAGTAGAAGATGGCCCAATTCCTTGGGCCCCTGCACTCGTGTAGGGGACCTGGAAGAAGCTCCTGGCTCCAGGCTTCAGATCAGTACAACTCCGGCTATTGCGGTCAACTGGAGAGTAAACCAGTGGATGGAAGACCTCCTCCCTCCCTCCCTCCCTCCCTCCCTCCCTCCTTCCCTCTCTCTCTGACTCTCCTTCTCTCTCTGTGTAACTCTGACTTTCAAATAAATAACTAAAAATCTTTTTTAAAAAATGAATTTATTTTAAAAATTAAAAACATTACTTGAAGAGAAAATAATCCAACTAAAGTAAAGGTTAGGCCAACCTGGAATCAGGTCAATACCATTTAATTCACATATCACAAAGAAGTTAAAATCGTACCATTTAAGTCTGCATTTTCAAATCGGACCCAGACAATCTTCTCCTTTTCTTCTGTTACAGGTGTTCCACTGTAAGCCTGAAGAGTAAACAGCAATATTTTAGTACATGTATTTTAAAGCTTTCATATTACTGATGTTCATAACAAAGTGTGATAAAACCTGCACTACCCCTCTCTACTTTCAACAGCCCTACATCTTTGTAACTAGCTCATTTTGGAGTATTATTAGTCCCAAAGAATGTTATGAAGGATTCTGTCAATTTTGAACAAAAAAATTAATTCTAACCTATTAAAGAATTAATAGAGGGGCCAGTGCTGTGGCACAGTGGGTTAACACCCTGGCCTGAAGCGCCGGCATCCCATATGGGTACCGGTTCTAGTCCTGGTTGCTCCACTTCCGATCCAGCTCTCTGCTGTGGCCTGGGATAGCAGTAGAAAATGGCCCAAGTCCTTGGGACCCTGCACCCACATGGGAGACCCAGAAGAAGCTCCTGGCTCCTGACTTCGGATCAGCGCAGTTCCGGCCGTTGCGGCCATCTGGGGAATGAACCAGCAGATGGAAGACCTCTCTGTCTCTACCTCTCTCTGTAACTCTGTCTTTCAAATAAATAAAATAAATCTTTAAACAAAAAAGAATAGAAACCCCCAACACTGTCATCTCAATCTATAATGAAGAATCACTATCACACAAAGGTACACAAAAAACTAAATCACCCCCTGCCTGGATTAACAAATAAGGCAACTTAGGAAACGACCACCCTTACTCTGTTTAGTTCCCAGGTGTCTGTGATCAGGCAATAACACTCCAAAGACATTATTTATTCAGTCTCTTATCTAGTTTGCAGACCCAACCTATCAGTGACCTGCAAGGGTCACAAAGATATGCATTCATGCTGGAGTGTCAACCGTAGTCAAAAGGAGTCATCACTACATAAAGCATGGTTTTTACATAGATTTTTTTAAACTTGTATATATTTCAAAGCCTTTAGATTATCAACAGTCACAAATTTTTGGCAATTACAAAGTGGTACTAAGTTTACAGAACAATTATTTAATATAACCTATATCAAAAGCATGTAAAACTATCTTGGTAGGGCCAGAGCTGTAGTGCAGAGGTTAAGCCACTGTCTGCAGTGATGGCATCCCATATGGGTGCCATTTCTGATCCAGCTCCATGCTAATGAGCCTGGGAAAAGCGGTGAAGGGGCCCAAGCACTTGGGCCACTGCATCCATGTGGCAGACGACAGCACCTTCTGACTCCTGGCTTCACCCTGGCTGAGTCCTGGCTGTTGCAGCCATTTGAGGGGTGAACCAGCATATCAAAGATCTCTCGATCTCTCTCTCTCTCCGCCTCTCTGTATCTCCGCCTTCCAAATAAATTAATACATCTTAAAAAAAAAAAAAAGTATCCTGGCACTAGCATTGTAGCATAGTTGGTTAAGCCAAGGGTTGGGATATCCACATACCATATTTGAGCACCAATTTCAGTTACAACTGCTGTGCTTACAATCCAGCTTCTTACTAATGCACTTGGGAGGGAATTGAAGCATGGCCCAAGTGCTTGGGCACCTGCCACTCATGTAGGAGACCAGGGTGGAATTCCTGGCTCCTATCTTCAGCCTGGCCCAGCCCAGGCTGTTGTGGTCATTTGGGGAGAGAACCAGCAAATGGAAGATTGATCTCTGTTCTCTCTCTCTCTCTCTCTCTCTCTCTGTGTGTGTGTGTGCGTCTCCCTTTCTCTTACCCACTCCATAGCTCCCTTGGGCTCTGCCTTTCACATTTTTTTTAAAAATCACTAAAAGGGAGGGGCGTTGTGGAGCAGTGGGTGAAGCTGCCGCTTGGGATGCCCACCTGCATTCCCTGTCAGAGCGCCAGCTCAAGTCCTGGGTCATCTGCTTCCTGCTAACATGACTGCTGGCAGCAGATGACAGCCCAAGTACTCGTGTTCCTGCTACCCATGTGGGAGACCCAGATGGAGTTTCTCACTCCTGGATTCTGCCTGGCCCAGCCCTGGATGTTGCAGGCATTTGGAGAGTGAACCAGTGAATAAAAGACTTCTCTCAGGGAGCAGCATCCTGGCACAGCAGGTGAAGCCACTGCCTGCAATGCCAGCATCCCATATGAGAGCCAGTTTGAGTCCTGGATGCTCCACTTCCTATCTGGCTCCCTGATAATGTTTCTAGAAAAGCAGTGCAATATGGCCCAAGCACTTAGGCCCCTGTCACTTGGGAGATCCAGATGGAATTCCTGGCGCCTGGCTTTGGCCTGACCTCGCCCCAGCCATTGCTGCCATGTGGGGAGTGCACCAGCAGATAGAAGATCTGACTTTCAAATAAATAAATCTTTTTTAAAAAGAAATAAAATACAATACCACTAAGGGGTACTTTAATAACAGGCTTACTATACAAAAAGATTACCTTAAACATCCATACAATTTCCAGTTAAAGCAAGAGTGATGTGTGTAGGACAGTTAGCTGCTTGGGAGAAGAAAATCTGTACTTCATTGATAAACTTTATCTTCAACCACCTCATCCTCATTCTCCTCAATCTTGTTACCCTCATCTTTGGAAGCCCTCTTTTTATTTTTTAAAGATTTTTATTTATTTATCTGAGAGGTAGAGTTACAGATAATGAGAGGGAGAGACAGAGAGAAAGGTCTTCCATCCTCTGGTTCACTCCCCAGATGGCCGCAATGGCTGGAGCTTCGCCAATCCAAAGCCAGGAGCCAGGTGCCTCCTCCTGGTCTCCCACACAGGTGCAGGGGCCCAAGCACTTGGACCATCATCTGCTGCTTTCCTAGGCCACAGCAGAAAGCTGGATTGGAAGTGGAGCAGCTGAGACTAGAACTGGCACCCATATGGGATGCGGGTGCCACAGGCGGAGGATTAACCTACTGCATCACAGCAGTAGGTTAATCACAGCCCCGGAAGCCCTCTTCTTTTAAAATAAACTTCATTCAACAATATTTTTTTTTTTTTGACAGGCAGAGTGGACAGTGAGAGAGAGAGACAAAGGTCTTCCTTTCCCATTGGTTCACCCTCCAATGGCCACCATGGTGGCTCACTGCAGCCGGCGCACCACGCTGATCCAATGGCAGGAGCCAGGTGCTTCTCCTGGTCTCCCATGGGGTGCAGGGCCCAAGCACTTGGGCCATCCTCCACTGCACTCCCTGGCCACAGCAGAGAGCTGGCCTGGAAGAGGGGCAACCGGGACAGAATCCGGCGCCCCGACCGGGACTAGAACCCGGTGTGCCAGCGCCGCAAGGCAGAGGATTAGCCTAGTGAGCCCCAGGGCCGGCCTCAACAATAATTTTAAGTTAGTAAGCATGAGAGCTCTCATTTCTCCTCAACCAGTTCACCCTAACATTAGCTATCTAATACAAGCAAACCTCCCATTACCATAGCACATTTTTCAAAACTATGAAATACTGAGGTAGCATAATTAATTAAACTCCAGTTTTTATTTAGATTTCACAAGATTAATGCCTGCTCTCTGCTACAGGATCTAATCTGGGATACTATGCCACATTTAGGACCATTTCTCTTTTTCCTGTCAAGCTTCCCTTTAACCTAGTAATGCAGGAATATGTCCAAAACTATCTTCATGGGAGCAGACTTAATTTAGGACTGTTTGCCATGCAGAGCATCACTCAACATGCTCCTATCACCGTGAAACTCTTCAAGACGTTCTCCTTCGATTTCTCAGGAACAGGCAGAACAAACGCTATCAAAGGGGGCTCTCCGTGCACCAGCTTCATGGCAAGAGGCTTTTACTACCCAGGCTTTTCCTCTGCTTTCGTATTTTCCTCACTTCTTAGCAAATGCTGTGTTGTTTTAGAAAGCATTTTTGAGGAAATTCTGAGAGGCTGATTGAGGCACGTAAGAGCTGGTTCTGGCATACCTTCCTGCAAGATTGCACAAAAATCAGCACCTGACATCTTTCTGCCTCTCAGCTTATGATCCCCTTTGCCTCTATTCAGATAGTTTATTCTCAACAAGCCAGACTCATCCAGAGTCCACACAGATCTCACCTGCTGTCTTATGGAGGGCAATGTACTGCCACATAAAACTTTTTGTTTTGCTCCAGCACTGACTATAAACCCACCTTCTTCAAATATTATGCAACTGATCTAGCCCTGTGGTTTAGATTCAAAGCTTTCGTCCTGTTACTGACAAGACTTACTTGCTTCCTTTATAATTAATTTGGCTTCTTAACACAATACACAGTCACAAGCACAAAGTTACTTTCAAAGTTCACACACAACATGGCTACAATAATCAATGTAGGCATCTTTGTGCATTCTCGTTTTATTTTTTATTATAAAAAAAAACTTCCATGGTGTGCTACTACCAGAAGTATGATTTTAATTACAGCAAATTATTCTTTAAGGACAATGATGTCACCATTTGTTTGACTGTTACTGACATCTGTACTAGCAACAATTTCTTACTGAAAATGCACAAATCTTACACATATTAAAATGAAATGTTTGGGGGGGAGCCACAACAATACAAAAGTTGCACTTTGTAAATTCACATTTATTAAATAAAAAAAAAGAACTTATGGGGGGGAAAGCCATTGTAATTCATAAACTGTACTTCAGAAATTTAAATTTATTAAATAAAAGTTAAAAAAAAAATAAAATGAAATGTTCTAGCCTTTAACAGTTTGTTCGATTTTTAAAATACATTTTCATTAAGTGGAATTATTAGACCACAGAGCACAGCTAAGGGCTCCTACAAGCCTTCAGTGCTATCAGCTGAACCCAAATAGAATTAACATAGTGAGTGATAACTAAAGAAGCCACTATCTAGTTCAACAACACATTCTCTCTAGGGATATATCTGTAGACCGAGAAAATAATTCTAGGCTCCATGAATGATGATTCCAGGAATACAGCAGGATGTGAACATTAACAGCAGCAGAAAACGTAAATTTCCAAAGGCTGAGCACAAAGTATTAATGTGGGATTCTATAATAAATGTAGGGAGAAAATGTTAGAAAGTGCTGTTCTCAGCCAGTGAACAAATGTCTAGTGGGACAAAAAGTTATTCCTAGTATGGTCAGTAGCTCCTAA